GGATTACGCACTTGTTTGCGTATGTTTCATTATGGTAACTTGGCAACAATATCCAAAGAGGCCGGGGCTTAGTGGAAAGAACTATTTAGTTCCTTGACCAGGAAATAATTTATGTAACAATTATTTTTACTAAAATTCAGTCATATTTCCTGTTGTGTACAATATGTGTTGTAGAATGATAAATAATAAATATTATTTTCCAATAAAGATTGTTATGTTCACTTTATTATGTAACAACTAATCTTTTAATTATGACAATTAAATTGACATCGTTTTTGTGGTTGTTTTTTCCTGACCATTCCACTGATAGAAAGCTTTTGGCAACCCATAGTCCATTGGATGAAGACATTTTTGTTCCATTGAAAAAAATATAAACAAATGAAGATAAGATGAAAAAGTGCAATTATCAATTGACAAAACACTATTGCAAGGCTTCTGATGTAGGTGGGTAAATATCCAAAAAATATCTTTAAAACGCGATTATATGTCCACCACATACTCAGATAGAGCTCATTCTCCAATTTAATATTTCTATAATTGAAGACTACTTTTTCCAAGTAAAAAGCTGATCGTCTATTTTGAGGCTGAATCATAAAAGACTACATTACATTTTTAGGTCTGGTATTGGAGGCTATATGTACTATATTGTAATTGGTAATTTTTCGGCGTTAAATACTCACGTGTGTTTAATTAAGTCTCAGGAGTCATTATTTTATAACAATGGTAATTACCTCTATTAAAGATGATATAATGATAAATGATGTTGATGATAATGATGATGATGATGATTATAAACGATTAAATAACACAACATGGCCTTTTTGCTACCGATGTTTCAACCACTCAGCGATAAAAACGAAAAATATATACTCCATACACTGTACCACTTAGAAGGCACCACCATCAACTCTACCTCGTGTGAACTCCAATGTTGTTGAGTCAAAACCAGAACCATCTTTGCCAAAGAAATTGTCTTCCGACAGCCAGACTATAATTTCTTCATATTGTTTGTTTATTGTTTATTATGATAAACAATAAACAATACTGCACCGATAACGGTAATAATTATAGCTAATGATGATAATGTTGATGATAGGGTTTTGGACTACATTTGTATTTCCTTTCTCTACTAAAATTATCGGAAGTGTATGTTGAGTAGAGGGACTTACTAGACATTCACTTTGGCAATGTTACAATGAGAGGCATAACTGACAAAGAAACTTGGCAATGTGAGTGAAGAGGAAAATTTGTTTGAAGCCACATGGTACGTAGCCCTACAAAATATATTATGCCAAACAAAAACGAACGTAACTAATGTGACAGGCGATGACTAAGCCAAGTTAATGATTACTTCAGGCCTGCTTCAGCGTCTTCGTTGTTCACTTTCAATATTAGTTTGGCTATAACTAACCTTGCCCGACCCGATATTCATTTTCTGCAATCCTCTTTACTTCTACGTGTATAACAGTCGTCTTAATAAATAAAAAAAGGTAGGTTAACGATATTATTACTATTGTTGCAAGACGTTCGATTTTACTTTGCTGTGCAGTGAATTAAATTTTATATTAGACCTATCGTAGTAGATACCAAATCAGTTTTAAGTTGATAATATATATTTTTTTGTGCATTATTTAATGCCTAATCTTTAAATATTATATGTGTTACGTTAATTTTGTAGGGCAGTTTTTGAAAGTACTGTAATAGAAGCTTATTTTCAGATTATTCAATACATGCTTAAGTATTCGTTTATACGTAGCATTTACACTTTGTAGATTTAATGTCTGCTCTCTTATCCAATCTGTTTTAGCATCTAAAATGGGAGATTGTAAGTACAGCATAAGTCCATGTGGCCTCCTGAAATTGTTGCAAATGGTAAGTACCGTAACTACTATCTTCATCGCAGTTGTATAAACTTGTTTTGTAACTCATTAAAGATACGTAGTAAAACGAAGGAATGAACATGTCTCTTAGTTGTACTTTCGAAATATATCTAATTAAATTATAGACAAATTTTATTCGGAAGTTATGCCCCGTTTACTGGGGATTGAATTCACGAATCGGGTAGTTATAATGATTCAGTTTCCGCTCACATAATTCAGCGATATACAGTTATATAGACAAAAAATTCCATATTAGCAAGAAACCTGTTGCTTCACTTGCTTTCATTTGTAAGTGGGGTTTCACACTTTTTGTTTTCTGTTCTGTTTCAATCGTGACATGTCTATGTTTTATTCGTCTTCCGATTCATTGTTATGGTCTTTTCTTGTCTACGACGAGTTGACTCAGTATACAAGGCTTATTTTTGCTGAAGGGTTCGTGAAATAGGGCAACCCACTGCCCCTGTTTTACGTCCTCTGCTCTAGTTTTTCTTACTGTATTCTATGGTGGTCTTTGCCTACTTCTCCTTTACGTTTTTGCATTTCAGTTGATTGTTCGTAGTAGTTAAATCACGGTTTTTGTGTTTTTATTTATAGGCACTTCTCATTGCTGGATTTATAACAACCTTACTTTTTAGCCTAGAATACTGCAATGTTGATAACAGTGAGAATAATTCGACCGGAAACGGAACCCTTCTTCCCGCCATCGAAAAGAATGAGACTAATGGTTTATTCTGTCAGGAAGAAATGTTTGCTGGATGGATAGCGTTTATGGTTTTGTCTTTTGTTATCTTTATCTTGGATCTCATCATCTTCATTGTTCATCTCTTTATTCCGGGATGGATGAAGTTGATAAGCTCAAAAATAGCAGCGATGGTTAGTGTCTTTTTTGAAAGTGTGTACAATCACATTATTGGCATCGTCCTCTTCATCATATAAATCATCATAATCATCAACTTCATCATAATTATCGTCTTATAATCATCATTATCCTTCCCATCATCTTCTTCATCATCATCATTAACATCATCATCAACAACAACATGATCACCATCATAATCATCATCATCATCATCATTAATATTATTATCATCGTTAGCCTACTAGTGTATTATAATACTATTATTTTAATCATTAATTTTGTCCGATATTATTGTTATTTACAGTGTTATTATGAGTATCGATGATTTTTTTAAATTAAAGTAGGCCTATAATGTTTCCATACCAAATGTTTTCTTTACAGGAGTTGGTATATTGTATCTTCGCTGCGATCGTGACAGCAGCGGCTTCGGCGACACTGGCGGCGCAGAATGGCGGCGAGACGAAATTAATCGCCTCTGCTGTTAGTACCACTACTCTATTAACGTCAAAAATATTCTCAATATTGGGTACTCCAAGTGATTTGCATTTATCACTGTAAAATAATTGCACTACACAAATTGTACCGGCGCGTGACTATAAACGACAACTCATTTGCACATTTCTTTTTTCCGTTTTCAATTTAAGTTAATAACAAGTCGATTATTTTTTAGCGCATTCCGTAAAAAGCCACAATGTGCTTTACTACAAAGAACCACTAGAAGCAAATAAATTCGACTTAAACTACTTAAACTAAAAACCGTCATATATAATCGATGTTATTACATTTATTCTGCTTGGTCTATTCGGTTAAGACATTTCTACAGAAATATGCCTAATGGTATTTTTATTACTTATTGTAATTAATTAATTGATTAATTTATTTCATCTTTATAGAGGGTAACCCGTTCAGCGTGGTAGTAAGCTGTCTCTTATCCACATCTAGATGTGTATAAGAGACAGTATATATATATAATTAATAAATCAATAAAAATATTTATAAAATTTACTAATCAATAGCATTTAAATTCATATATATATAATATATTATAGGGGCCTATATATATATAATATTTTTTATAATTAAGATTTTCATTATCTTGTTAATGGTTTTTTTTTCCTACACAGGTTCTCGGGTTTGTTGCAATGCTTGCGATGTTGGCTGAGTGTGTTTTCTTGTACAAGTTTTCCAAGAAAGGACCGTTGTAGGTCAGATGAATCCGTTTGTCCACCAAGCTCTACAATGGTATTAGTACCGCGACCGTATGGCCGTATCACACCGTCATAGTTTTGTTAGGACTACAAATAGTATGATAGCCTATTATTACAGTGTTTTGTTTTTAGGCGGGACACACTTATTGTAATTGTTATGGTGGATCCAAGGGGAGCATACGCCCCTCTAAATATTTGAAAAAAAAAAATTAAGAAAAGAAATTATATTTGAAATTTAAGACTGAGATTACCGATTCCGGCCATCACATGACCATAAAAGCTTGTACCTTAGCCACAACCATGGGGCTGAGGTAGTCACAACCGAAATTTTTTGTTACAGACACCCGAAAATAACCTCTAAGGCGTTTTAAGCGATCTTTTTTTTTTTTTTTTTTTTCCAAATGGGCGGGGGCCGGCTCGCCCCTGTACACCATCAATTTTGTAAAGGTTCTTCTTTGTCCCCCTCTATTTCAAAATGTCTAGATCATGTTTTGCTTCCACCCAAAGATCTATTTAGGCCATCATTAAGAGTCATCATTGGCATAATTAGGATGTCGCTCATTATTTAGCAAAAATTATGGTTGGTTTGCTGCTAAATAGGCCTACTTAATTAACACTCACCTCAAACAACAATTTGCGTAAAAGTGTCCATCTCATAGAGCCTGTGATTAACAGGTCTTAACTTAACTATGCTGTATTTAAAAATTATTATCATAAGGTGAGGAATGTCTATTTTGTGTACATATGTTCTTTTATGTTTGAAATGATTCTCTACCAATAAAATCCTGGTAGTGTTAATTTTGGTATGGTTGTATTCGTGTTATTTTTATGTTGAAAATACATTTTGTCATATTATTAGGCTATTAGACATCCACCACACCCCCATGATTACGATGAACTTTTCCGGAGTTTCAATCAAACTTAATAAGGCCAAGAAAAAAAAATGTGTTGGCCACGTTTTGGGAAAATCCAAAAACTGGGTAGGTCGGTAGGAACTTTTTTTTTTAATTTTTTTTTTTTAACAACCAAAAATGTGTTTACACCTAAAAAGTAGAAAATACACAAATACTACAACAATTTTTGATTCGCATCGCGTACCATTGGTACCATCAAATAAAATACCGTAGGCTTTGCCTTGGCCCCATAGCCTGACCAAGGCTATTTCAGTCTTATTTGCTCATAAAAAAATATTGTTCGTTGTAGTCAAGAAAAAAAAAAAGCTAAAATGCAAACCCTGAATTTCGTAAGTTGTGGGCCGGTTGGGTGTGGCCAACACATTTTTTTTCTTGGGCCTAAATTGACCTATCAGGACAGGCCATTGATACGCACGCTAACAGGCACACGTGTTGTCCCAAACGCACGTGTTTGCGTATAATGCTTTAACGCTGTCATTTTGCAACCAGTTGGGGCGGGGCTAGCGGAAGGGTCCATTATAATGTGATGCAAAAAATAAATAAATTTCGTTATATTCATTATTGAACCATTAAATATGAAACTTGATGTGGTATGAATATTCGATGGGATCAATCTCGTAATCTCTCGAGTGTTGAAGAAACAATTTCTGCAATATATTCCATCTTCAATTCATTAACTCATAAGCGGAACGTAGGCTGAATGTACCTGTAAGGCCTACGTTTAAATTTAATGGACCTTTCGCGAGTGCAACAAAATTACTGTACAGCAGGGGCGAATCCAGAGATATCCAAAAGTTGGGGCCGAAGTTGGGCCGTGATCGAGACAACACTGTTGTAGGGGGTACTAGGGGGTTCGGGGGCATGCCCTGCGAAATTTATCTCTTCTAGACGCCCGAAAACAGCATTTGAGGCGTTCTGGGCAATCATTTTTTCTTTATTCTTTTTTTTTCTTTTTTTAACTTCCCAAAAGGGGGGGGGGAGAGCCGCCCGGCCCCGCCCTAATTTCGCCCCTGGTACTGACTAATTAGAACAGACCGTGAATATTATATGCGCTTGAAGTTGGTGAGTGGGCGAGGCTGAGTGGAAATGAATCTTAATGAATTTGGTAAGAGGCCCTCTATAAGTTTAAAGTTAACTCGGACCATGACTGGGACACAGTTGCGTCGTACGATGAGTCGAATGGTATAAAATTGATCAAAATGCGAGCTATTATAGATCTATATATACAACAGCGATCATACGATAGATAGATCTAGTCATATCACGAGTTGTTTGAGTTTGTGAGACCAACTACGAAAAGAGTAAGAGATAACACGCGTAACATAACAAGTGATAGGCCTATATATAGAAATGGATAGGGTCTAATTAAGTAGGCCTGGCCTTAGGCTATGTCTTTGCCTACTACCAAAAAAGTACTCAGCTCAGAGTCTGAGCTACTACTATTGGTACTTACTGCAGTGGCCAGAATCTAAGATAAGAGAGGGCAGATTCATGCACAGTCGCCGCTTTTTCGGTGGTAGTAAGAGGCCTAACGTAGCCTCATAGTTACCAACCTGAGAGATTTGAAATGCGTGAGTGACGGCGCTAATGCACTTTAGTACTGTAACACTTTTATCTTCAAAAATTGTCTTTTTACCTACTGTGCGCTCCTAACAATATCTTACGATTCTTTTTCATCCAGTTCTCTCACTAATTACACCACTTTTTCGCATTTTATTACTAAAAACAACGTTCTTTCCCAGCGATTCATGACGGTAGCGACTCGCGACGTTTGATTATAAATAATTAATTGCCAGGTTGTTATCCAATTTTAAGGACAGCTCTGTTCGTTGCCAGGTTTGATTTTTTCCCCATTTTGTTAAAGAGGTGCCTTTTCATAAATTGTTATTTGTATTTTTATCTGTATTGTTTATATCGTTGTTCTGGTACAGCGCAATATTAATAATGACATATTACATTTAGGGACAACAGCTATTATTTCGTCGGGGAAAGCTGCCCCCTCGTCGGGGCCCCCCCCCCCCCCCCCCCCCGAGGCCCTAGGCGGCCCCAGACCATCAACTAATGGGTCGTGGCAGCGAAGATGTCACGGGGCTCGTGGCCGCTCTTGGCGGCCCTGTTGACGGTAATTAGTATGACCGAATTTGAGCAAACAATAATTATCACACATAGCACCTTTATTACATTTAGACCCAAAACTTATTACAATTAGAACCTTTATTACATTTAGACCCAAAAGGATTTCACATAGGACCTTTATTACATTTAGATCCAAAACTTATTACAATTAGAACCTTTATTA